ATGTTTGTTCGAGATTATGTAGATAATTTTGATGAATTACTTAATAGAGTCGAGTTGCAAGTGGAGTATATTGTTAGTTGTTTCCTAAGGGGTTTGAAACAAACAATTGGTCTGCCTGGTAAGATGCTAGGTCCTAGGTCTCTAGCCAAAGCCATTAGTTTAGCCAGAATTCAAGAGCAAACATTAGAAGTGAAGAAACAAGTTTTTTCTTCTAATGTCATCCTTCCTACCCCCAGAAATATCCCAAGATTTCAGCATGCATCTTTCTCTCCTCAAGGAGGGAATTACCTGCCATTTAAACCTTCTCAAACTTTTCCAAAACAACAACCTTCTTACCCTAGCAGTTCTAAACCAACCTACAAAAATCCTAAACTCTTGACTAGTGCTGAGATGGAGGAAAAAAGAAGCAAGAAGTTATGTTTCCATTGTGATGAGAAATACACTATGGGACATGTGTGCAAGAAGAAAAAGCATTTTTCTCTATGGAAGTTGAAGAAATATAGGGAATGGTGGAAGTAGAGGAAGATGTCATGTTGGATCCAGCAGAGTTGTTAACCATGTTAGCCCAAGGCCTAGAAACTGATGCAGATGGGTCTATACTACCTCATGTATATGTGCATGCCATGAATGGTGCACATGATTTTAGGACCATGCGGGTGATAATGTCAGTCAAATGGAAGGCAGATCATGTGTTTATTGATACTGGCAGTACCCAGTATTTCTTGGATCTCAACACTACCAAGAAGTTAGGGTGTGTTCTGACTGCCAAAGCTCCTTTTGCAGTATCAATAGCTGATGGTAATAAGGTGTAAAGTCATTATGTTTGCAAAAACCTGGTGTGAAAGATGCAAGGAGTCTCATTTGACTTTGATATGCTTGTATTGCCTATTGGGGGATGTAATATGGTTCTGGGCATCCAACGGTTGATCACTTTAGGTGATATCCTATGGAATTTCAGGAAACTCAAAATGGAGTTCACTATCATGGGCAAGAAGATCTCTCTATGGGGGATTCAACCTCCTGCTGCTAAGTTAATTCAAGAAGGAAGAATGGATAAGATTCTTGCTAAGCCAGCAGAGTTATGCATGATATCAGTGGGGGTACTAGCAGAAGGGAATTCAAGTGAAGCTGCTCGGTTGTTTTCACTAGTAGGCCAAGACCAAGACCAAGAAAAGACAGCAGAACTAGACTTGAATCCGCGAAAGTACAAGGACATATTTGAGGAACCTAAGGGACTACCACCTTCAAGGGAACATGATCACATGATTGTTCTAAAAGAAAGTACTGCTCCAATAAACAAGAGTCCCTATAGATATCCAGCTATTCAGAAAGATGAGATTAAAAAAATGATAGATGAGATGTTGAGTTCTGGGGTGATAAATCACAATACCAGTCCCTACTCTTCTCCAATTGTAATGGTAAAGAAGAAGGATGGAACATGGAGAATGTGTGTGGATTATAGGGAGTTGAACAACAGTACAGTAAAGGATAAGTTTCCAATTCCTGTTATTAAGGAGCTGTTAGATGAATTACATGGAGCCAAGTATTTTTCAAAGTTAGATCTAAGGTCGGGGTATCATCAAATTAGGATGTTTGAACATGACATTCCTAAAATAACATTTAGGACTCACCATGGTCATTATGAATATATGGTAATGCCCTTTGGTTTGACTAATGCTCCTTCCACTTTTCAGAGTCTCATGAACCAGGTCTTTCATCGTTATCTTAGGAAATCCATTTTGTTTTTCTTTGATGATATACTCATTTATAGTTCCAACTGGTCAGATCATATGATTCATTTAGAGGAGGCTTTCCAGATATTAAGGTCTCATGTGTTGTTTGTCAAAAAAAACAAGTGTGCTTTTTGAGTTACACAGATAGACTATTTGGGCCATGTCATCAGTAATGAGGGAGTGGCCATGGACCAACAGAAGGTGTCAGCTGTATGGAGTTGGTCTCAACCAAACACATTGAAGGGATTTATGGGTTTCCTTGGTCTTACTGTGTACTCCAGAAGGTTTATCAAGAACTATGGCTTGATTTCTAGACCACTGCATGACTTACTCAAAAAGGGGAGCTTTGTTTGGAATTCATTGGCTACTGAAGCCTTTGAAGATTTGAAGAAGGCTATTACCTATGCTCATGTTCTAACATTGCCCGACTTCTCTAAGGAGTTTGTAATAGAAACTGATGCTTCAGGTGAAGGCATTGGAGCAGTGTTTATGCAAGGCAAATAATGAAGCGCTTCACATCATCTATCACAGTATGTATGTAATCTGTTGAAACCCTCACCTATAATTTCATTACAAACACACAACAAGTTGTCAGCAACAAATATAAAACAAAATAACTACAATTATACAACAACTTTTCTACAATTAACAGTATATATTTAGTTTGATGGAATCAATGATTTGATGTTATTGGCTATAACTTACTCTTATCTTCTGTGATAATGTCATGTTGTTCTCCAACTCTTTGTTGTATTTTTTCCTAAGGTATGTGAATGTACTCTTTGCATTCAATAACTTTTCATTAGTCCAACGTTCAAGAATAGTCATCATGTACTCTAATAGTTCTACTACGGGCAGCTCTCTTGCATCTTTGGTTACCGCATTCAATGACTCGGCAATGTTTGATGTCATTGTCCACCATATGTTCACTATAGCATGTATCCGAGACCATACGTGATAGCCAATATCGTATAGGTATGCTTTAACATGTGTGCCGATCTCTTCAATCTTTGACATTCTTTGATAAAATTCATCAAGCGTGTATGATCGTGCCGTGGCAAAGTACAATTCGCTTAACTTTAAATGACCCTTCTTGAACTTTAACCTTACATTTGTCCAAATATGCCACATGCAAGCATAATGTGGTATGTCGGTATAAAAAATAGATGTTGCATTCAAGATACTCTCATTCTAGTCCGAAACAACACACATATTTGGTTTTTCACCATATGAATGTTTGAATTACTCAAAAAACCACCTCAATGATGCGCCATCTTCTGAATCAACAACGGCGTATGCTAGTGATAATATGCTACTTACCACACATGTGGCAAAAAGAAATTCAATTTCTGTAATAAAACTTAAGAATATAAAAAATCTAGTCTCAAAAACAACTTTCTAATAATATTTTTATAATTAGATTACCTGTTGCATCCATTGTGCTAGCTGTTAGCATGATTCCCCTATATGCCGAATTCAAGAATGTGCCATCAGCTACTACAACTGGCCTACAATACTCCCATCCTTTGATGGACGTACTAAGTGCAACACATGCATACAAGAAACAGTCATCTTCAGTCTTCTACAATTTCACTACCGACCTGGATAAGTCTTCTCCAGAATATACAAAAAACTCTGCAATCGGCTGTAGGAATCAGCAAGATGATCTCTCAAAAAATCCAAAGCCTTTTCATTTGCTCTCCAAGCTTGTATGTATGTATGTTAAGTTCACACCATGACCCGACAACATGTCAGTTTGTGTGTCTTTTGGTGTGTATATTGTCTTAGGATTTGCATATTTTGGCATCACCATGCTGCCAACTACCATGGCAGTTGGTTTGCGTTGTATGTATGTGTTGTCCATCAAAGAGTATGTGTGCAAGCTATTGAATTTTTGAACCTTGAATAATGCTAATTCATTTATGCTGGTGGACTTGAAGTGCCACGTACAATTGTCACCAACACATACGAGGTAGTAGCTACAGAATAAAAACAATTCAAAAAATGTTATGAAAATTGTAGCTACAAAATACGAGGCTATTTATGCACAAAAACTTATCTTAAACAATTTATATACAAAAAAACTACAACTTATCCACAATATGAATTTGACAAATAAAATGTTCATACCTTCTTTCACTAGACCTTTTCACCCTAAATTGAAACTTATGCATGACATAATAATGCTTCATTGCACTAACAATTGCTTGCTTGTCTTGGTAAACTTGAGCTAACTTCAATTACATTTGGCGTATGATCTGTTATGATGATACTTTCATATTCCACAATTGCCGGAGATGTTTGCATATCAATCAACTTCATTGTTCATGATACTTCTCCAATTGTGTTACGATTGCTTGACAATTGTACCATGTTAGTATTACGATAATCAGAAGAACACGCACTCAATTAAAAGTATAGCAATTCAGATCTATGTATATTCATGTGTTCAGTATTTGAAATAATACTTGTAGAGACATAACAGTTGAACTATATTTGTTATGTAGTAAAATTGTAGAAAAATTGTAAAATACTTGAAATTGAAAAAACATCAGCATTAGAAAAATAGAACAAACCTGTAATTGTGCGCGCATTCGACATACTGCATTCCAAATCAAAATCACGCACGGTTATACACAACGGATACACTCCTAAGTTTTTATTTTCCTTTTTCGTCTCCATATACACTCGCACTCCCATATCGCTCTGAATTTCCATTGGAGGACAACGTTCATTGACAGTGTATTTGATTTCGATGATTTTTGTGGAGGTATCGATCATTAGATGCTCTGCAATTGCGAAATTCAATTGACTATAATTTGAATCGTCATTAACAACAATTCCGTCAACATCAAAATCTTTGTATCTCCCAACGCTATCCCACCGCCCATTGAGTTGAAGCATAATCGCTAATTTTGACATTATGTCGTGAAATTCAATTCGATTGTAGCAAATTTGCGTAATAGAAGGATTCTATGAATATGTTGCATTCATAATTGGTGCGAGAATTACGTCAGTAAAATTTCTAAGCGATCTCAAAAATCTCGCACCTAAATAAGGAAGACTATCGCAGAAAGGATTCTAGTTTAAACAAATGTATAGATTTTGTAGATAAACTGTGTTTAGGTCGGGTAAATTCATAAACATGGATATTTTTCGTAATAAAGTTTGAAATGCTGTATAGAAACTAAAAAATCCCAATTTTAAATATGTTATAGCCATACAACAAATATTATGACATGTTTCTATTTTTCTTTTAACTCAACATAAATTTGCCAGCGAAATATATGGCAACGTTATAAAATTTGGGAAAGAGGTTTCTAGGGTTAGGGTTAAGAAGAATCTCTCTCTCACATTTTCAGCAGCTTCCGATTCCGATTGCAGATGGCACCTCCAGAGAATGATGGCCGAGGGAAAAAAAAGTTGGAAGAGGAGAGTAGTAATGGAGTAGTTGGGTCAAATGTCGCTGATTCTGATTCTGATTCTGATCACGATTATGGTATGTATGTCGACGGTCGCAGTATGTCCCGGAAACTTCGGGAGGAATATAATCGGCAGGTGGATGAGAGCGAGGTGCGTACCCTGCCCTCCTTTCATACTTAAGACCTCTAAATTCTAGGATAATTATTGAATTTAATTTTTTTTACTTATTTCATGAATTTCTAAATACAAATACAACATTTGGACGAAAGCTACTAGTTAGGTTGAGCCCGTAGATAACCCTTCGTACTTATTCGTCTGATGCATGTTTTTTATTTATTTTTTGACTCGGCCCTAATGGTAAGAAATCACCTTGTGTTTTTCTGCAAGCATATCGGTAAATGTCTGATATTTGTACCAAAAACAAGTCGATTCAAGCAATTTTTGATTCCTTGACTGTCTCAAACAGTAGAGCTAACAATTAATGCCAATGTAAAATATACAGTATTCTTGTAGATATATGAGGTCTTTTTAGGTTTAGTTTACTTTAGACGACGTGTAGGTCTCTGTAGTTTTACTTTATTTTAGACTTGAACTCCTACTCAACAGTAAGTTCATGCAAGGAATCTGTTGATGAAGGGTGATGTGACTAAATTTATTACCCTATTAGGTGTCGGTTTAGTCTAATCCGCTAGACTTATTGAAACTGAGACCTCATGGTTCTCATTCCACTTCATTGACTACTAGACCACACCATTGGATGTGTGCTTTTTCTACTTGTCTAGTTTTTTTGTTTTTTTTTTTGATTTGTCCTTTTTGTTCGTGTATTATGCAAAATAGGGGTTTGATATCAATTTGGGTTTGCCATTGGAGGTTAGTGTGGTAGCTCCAATTAATCCACAATGGGGTTTCGAGAACATCCCAAGATATACCGAGCTGTCTCACATGGCCATTGATGATTTCAATTCACAGAATGTAAGTAAAACCTTCTTATATAATCGCATTATCCTTGGAGAAAAATGTTATTTTGTCTGCCCCTTTTAATTTGGCTTTCTTCTATTTGTTAGAATAAACGGTACGAATTTGTCAAAAATTTGACTGTGAACACATCACTTGCTGCTGGGTTTTGGTGTCGTATCACCTTTCAAGCCAGGGATGCTGATGCTGCTGCTTCTGATGCTGTAAAGACCTTTCAAACATTGGCATGGTGGGGAATTGATGGAGACAAAGAAATTATATTTTGCAGGCTTAAGAAACAATCCAGTGGTGAAGGTAAACCTTTTAATATGCATCTTCTCCCTTGTTACTTACAATCTTATATATGCAACGTGATTATGCTAAATATAAATAAACTTCCAATATTTGTGCGCTCTTAGGATTACCTT